AGGAGGATGAGGCAGCCAACCACAGGACCAGACCACCAGATGTAACGAGCCGCCGCTGGCTGACGGGCACTAGCTGGGCCTCCCCCAATGGGGAATCACCCGGCTGGTTCGACCTCGCCGCGGCGTGAAGTTTTGCCTGGATCACCGGATTTGACCACAGTCGCGCCCAGCGCGACCCCCCATCGCCCCGCCTGTTGTCGCAGGCGGCGAGTGCAACCACGTTAGAGTGGCCATTGCCACGTGAACGTTTCCCCGCCGGCCGCAAGCGGCCGTCGAGAAGAACTCCACGACAGGAGAACGCCGCGCGGGGCGCCAGCTACGCTCTCCGTAGTCCGTTTCGCGTTCCGTAGCACCGACGTAGCACGTACACTCTAGACAGCACGTAGTACGTGGCAGTCAACCACCTCTGCAGGCATGCGCTCCTGGTAATTTTTCACGTACTGAAAGGGTTAGGAAAGCTGAAACCGTGAAAGGGTTGCTCTATTTGAAAAGCATTGTTCGAAAGCTTTGTTTTTTTTTGTATCTAGGTTTTTTGGTAGCATCTTTAGAGCATCTTTCCAACCATTTATTTGTTTTTTGCCAGCTGTCAGGTTAATAAAAAATCTTAGGTGTTTTTCCATACATGGCGTCCCGCTGTTAAAAAACAAAATAAACGCTAGTTTTAGGTATTATTCAACTATAACGGTCCGCTCTAGCGTTTTTACTCGCTGCTGCAACAATTTTTTCTCCGGTAGAAGCATTTTACTTAATGTGTTATTATACACATAAACCCTCCTCTTATTTAATTTTATTTAATGGTATGATACACAAGCAACATAGTTATTTAATAAACTTACAAATCCAAAACTATTATACCATTTTATGGCGTCGTCGTTTATTAGGTCATCAGGGTCACATCTTGGTCACACTCTACATCCAAATCCCTTGCGGTGGTTTAGGAGGACTTAGCGAATTCCACGATAGGTAGACAGACAGACAAACGCAAAAAGCGAATTTTATAGGTAGTATGTATATTGATATTTAGTGTGTTTTGATTGATATCACAATTATCTAAATCACATTTTTTCCTAACTAAACTCAACTCTTTGCAATAATAATATAACCGGCAAGGCCCGTCCCGTAGTACCTACCTATCTGCCACTCGTAACGGAACGTAACTTCCGTTGTCTAAAGAGGAAGCTGTATTTTTCCCGGGTTCCTCAGTTATACCAGGACACAATGAACTCATGGCGATAGTACTGAAACCAAGGATTTTCATCTTTAACCTCCTAAGACTGAAACACTGAACTCCTAAAGTTGCAGAATAATTTCAGCTACGAGATATGGCTAAAAATAAAACAAATGAAAAGCAATTTTCATTATATTACTCGCATTTTCACAAAAACAGGAATTTTCTGCATATTTCGAGAATGAAATACTAGGGAGTCAGAGGTGAAAGGTTTCGGCTTTTGGCTACCAGAATCGTCGTAGCAGGAGCGTAGCGTAGCCTACGTCACGTTCGTAGAAGTGCGTGGCGTAGCGATGAGGGTGTTTTTCATTATGAAACGTCATACTTTGGAGGCTGTACTACTAGGACAACAAGAAAAGGTAGCGTAGCGCAGCTAGCAGGGGTCCTGAATGTCGATCACTTGTCTGACAGATGTCTTCACGTCTCACGTCTTCTCGATGGAGCTTAAACTATTAATTAAATCTAAGTACAGTACGCGCGCGGACAGTACTTTAGTTGCAGCAAACTCGACGCAATTTATCCAAAGGCGGCTATGCCGGCATAAAAGTGGGTGCAGTACTCGGCGTAAGTAGCCCAAGACCGGCTAAAAACTAACGTCTCCGTCTCATCTCTTGTTTTACGTCTCGCCTGGTTAGCGCTCAAACTCGCAGATCAAATGCATGCCCTCAGGCCCTTCGAGCAGTTCATCCTCCAAGCCTCAGGCCCCTCAGAATGGAAGCCATGTTGGCAGCCGTGCTGCTCGATAAACTTTTTCCTTGCAAGAAAGTCACACAAAATGAAGATGTTAAAGCGAATAGGAAAGAAAACCATAATTTCTAAGATGGGGCTTTGTAAAAATCCATGCCTTAGTAACCAGGAGCTTATGACTACTGCGCAGGTTTTAAAAAGCTAAGCTCGCACGAAAAAACACCTAATACGGCTTGTTAGTGTGAAAAACACACACTGATGGGCGGAGCTTAGCTTGCACACACGTATGGAGCTTTTTTATAGGTGGAGCTTTTTAAGTATTTTATTATGCGATACTTTAAAAAAGCTTTTTCGATTTGTCCGTTTGAATTTTCTTTACCGGGACCGCAGGATTTTTAGCAGTTAGAGAATGATCGGTATGCGAGTTAGGAATGTAGAGATTGAGAATGCTGCAGAGAGAAAATGCTCCTTTTACTTCATAAAGGAGATTTTCCCGCATTTGAGCATTTTTCTTACCAGGCACGCATGGGAGCGCGGAGATTCGAAAGAATTCCGAGAACGCTTGGAATTTCGGAGAAAAATTGAATGTGGGATTTTAATAACGATGAAATAAAGCGTAGACGGTTTTGAGCATATAAAGAGAGATTTACTGGTATGGAACGAATCTGTTTTGTTTAATTGTTGCTAAAAGTTATACAAATGACATACAAAACCAGTTACCACAGGTGGTAAACGTTATAGTTTACCTACATATGAACATGTAATAATGACCCTTACTAATATTTGACATAATCATTGACATAGACAAAACGAGTCAATGAACGAAGCGATGATCAGAACATAACATAACATTCACTTACAAAATACTTATAGGTAGGTAGCTAGAGTTTTTTCCTTATTATTACCTATCGGTATTATTACCGTCACCTATTCATGTTTATCTTAGAACCCTTTCACACGACCTTTCATACAAGCAATTTTTTACGGCGATTTGTCGCTTGTATGAAAGAGCTCCAACCAATATGCATTCGTTTTGCGAGGCTATATCTTTCCAATCATATACGGTATACCTATATTTGCTTTTTGACAACAAAATGCACAAAGGAAACAAAATTGGCGTGAAAAGGACAAAGAAAATTGTATTCTCCAAACAACTGTCAAAAATCCAAAAATCAAATGAACGCTTGGAGGAACTGTAGTGGCCAGTTTCAAACGGCAACATGGCGCATAACCGGAATAAGTATCCAGAGAACAGGAAGTGAAACAATTCGACCGGATCCGGAAGCGGATGTCGGGTATTGCAACGGGAATCCCAGACCCGGATAACCCGGGTTTAACACGTTAAGAATGCTTAAATCCGTTATCTTGTACCAGGAGTGCATAGAGCAGAAGCGGTGGCTAATCCGAATTTCACCCGGGTTTTTCTCCCGGTGAGCCTTCAAGAAAGGGCAACGTAACAGTCTTGAAGTTGAATAGAAATGCCATGAAGTAGTTCTACATTAGGTAACTTTTTTATAATAACTTGTAAAAGTGTTACAGTAAAAGTCTCCAAGACTAAACGCTGTTCAGTATTTTTGTCTTAGTAGGTAAAAGTCCTGAAATTAAACAATATTTTATAAGATGATTTTATATCACACATCTTCTCGTCATAGAGCTTTACACTAAACAATATGTACCTATAAATTCCATCACATCACAATATTAGATTTTTATGCATTTGAATGGCACATCTACTCTCGTTTATTTTACACATCAGATTCACGATCACAACCCCTCGAAAATAAAACTCTCTTTGATTAGTTACTATAAAGTAAACCAGTCCCAACTGCTCACAAAATAAGGTTTAAAATCACTCAAACATACTAATTGCTACGGCACGACTCGTAGTCGTAGCTCGTAGCACTTGGCGTCGTAGCATAATGACGTATAGCGGTCTCTTTCTGTTTGATGTTGTTCTCTTTCTTTAGTCGTAGAATTTTCCAAGTACCAGGAGCACGGATTTTCCTTGCTTAAAAAGACAGGAAAATAATCATAGAGAAAAGAAGGCACTAGGGGGCGCTCATGGTGACGTCATTGCTCTGTGAAAATAATGAAGTCGCTCAACTTTGATAGCGCAGTTTTTTTTAAATGCCATTTATTTGCAATGCGACATATTGCATAGTTTTGTGTCGTGTTTGCTACGAAAGAAGGCCCTGAGAACGCTGAGAAATAATAACGTTAGATATTAGCACCACATAAACCTACTACCTACTCCTTCAATCTACTTATAACTGTATGAGAAACTAGTTGTACCTTTATGGTCCTATTAAACTCACTGCAAATATATTTAGGGTGTGTCCTCCCATACAAATTTACTAGGTCGCCTGGTACATTTTGGGAGACAAAATTGTTTTTTCATGTTTCGACCTATGTTCGTTAGGGAAAGTTGTTCAGTTTCACGAGTGTGGTCTACACCCTGAAAATATTTGCACTGAATTCAATAGAACCCTTTACTGGGAGTAACAGAAAGGGTTAAACAAGCCGGAAGGAGGCCAAGGTAGGTACTCATAAAACTGAACAACTTTCCCCATGGAACATGGGTCGAAATACGAAAAAAAATTGGACCTCTCATAGTAATTCAATCAGCTGATCGGGATTTCAGTTTCATGAGTAACTTGACCTCCATTCGGCTTGTTGTACACTTTTTGTTACTCCCGGTAGATCTTTTAAACGGGGTTGGTAATTTGGTATTCTGGTTCCTTTAGGTTGTTATTCTGCTGATTCAGTTACTCAAATTAATCAACTAAGTACACGTCTCCTATTAATTATGTAGAAATAGGACTCTCTTTGTAGCGAACAGTCTGAAACCACAAATCAATACCATTAATAACATACAATGAATTCACGCCTACGACCCTTGCAGAGGTGACAGAGCAGCAACAGCCTGATATACAGGGTGTAAGGGACGGTGTACCGAAAACTTTGCAGGCATGATCAGACCATCAAACTGAACAACTTTTACTATGGAGCCAATCTATTGGGATTGTAATGCACTCACAGTGCTATATTATTCTCACAAGTGAAAATAAGAAATAGAAAAATGACATGCATCGACCGGGGATCGAACCCGGGCCGCATGGGTAGACGCCCCACCGCTCTGCCACTGAGCTATCTTCAAGCTTCATCATATGGTTTGAATTCCACTCATAATGTGGACTAACCATGTAGTAAGTATTGGAGATGATCCTCCTCTTGTGTAAACCTAAACTTTGCTGGCTGCTCTACTTTAGTGGCAGATACATTGACATTCGGTTTTTAGTTTTGTGAAAACAAACAAAGCGTCAAAATTCCACTCCTCATCTAGCAAAGAGTATAGTAATATATTGTCATCTAGGTTTCGCTGATGCAGCTACTTTTGATATAAATATACAATAATTTGTTATTTCAACCTGTGTATGCTCTGCTTCCCATGTACCCTAACATTGGTTATGGGCCCAGGGCAAGCATACGAAAATAATAATTTATTGTATATTTTAGTTCGTAACAGTACGTCAAGTCAATACGTTGTTTATATTTTACGTGTGTAAAGGGAAAGTAAATATGAACTACAAAATAGAAGTATTGAATCGCGACAATTACGAGAGCTGGAAAATACAGTGCCGTGCCCTGCTAGTGAAGAATGGGTATTGGGCATATGTCAGCGGAACGGAAAAAAGACCTGAAGGTGAGCCTGAAGCTTCGAAATGGGTCACAGAAGACGAAAAGGCCAAAGCCGACATTATTTTGTCGATGAGTGGAACCGAGTTAAGGCACGTGAAAGGGTGCAAAACGTCCCACGATGTTTGGTTGAAGCTACAAGCCGTGTACGCCTCGAAAGGGCCTGCTAAGAAGGCGATTTTACTAAAAAAGACTAACTCTTGATCGAATGAGCCAAGACGGCGATGTTCGTGAGCATTTGAATTCTTTCTTTGATGCAGTAGACAGATTGATGGATATGGACGTAACTATAAACGATGACCTACTATCAATTATGTTACTATATAGTCTACCGGCCAGTTTCGAAAACTTTCGTGTTGCAATAGAATCTAGAGATGAACTGCCAAAACCGGAATCCCTAAAGATTAAGATCCTTGAAGAATATGAATCGAGGAGGCAGACGACATCATCATCTGAAGGCGCTATGTATGGAAGGACTTATAAGCCAAAGCAACACAAAATGAAGAATTTCAGAGCCAAACAAAAGGAAGAAGAATTCAAATTTAAATGTTTTAAATGCCATAAATATGGGCATAAGTCATCACAATGCATGAAGAAAGCAGCTGATAGATCCCACATCGTTGAAGAGGTTGCTAATTACAATTGTCCTGAAGATATTGAGAGTGTTATAGACTTAAGTGAACTTATATCCTTTAATGTTACAGATTCAGGAAGCTGTGAATGTTGTCACACTTTGAGCAACGCGCCTGAATGGATAGTCGACAGTGGCTGTACGTCTCACCTCTGTAACGACCGAGCAAAATTCCGAGGTACAATGACCGAATCTGCTGGTAAATTGAATTTGGCAACTAATTCTAGCACAACTGTAAAAGGTAAGGGTACCGTTAGATTATCAGCATGCATAGATAGCGATAGGACTCAGGAATTTGAACTTAAGAATACTCTATTTGTTCCTGATCTCAGAAACAATTTAATTTCTGTTGCGAAAATAACCGATAATGGCCATGACGTTACTTTCAAACAGAACGCTGCATTCATTAGAGATCGAAAAGGGAATACTAGGTTGATAGCTCGACGAAGGGGGAGACCTATATTATTTGCTAGAGTCAGAATATGCAAACGCTATCAGCGGATGTAATGTTGATATCCGCTTATGGCATGAACGTCTAGGGCACCTGAATGGGAAGGATGTCGCTAAGATACTTTCGAAAATGGGTGCGAATATAAACGTGAACGAGGTACGTAAATTACAGAACTGTGATACATGTGCGAGGGGAAAGATGACTGCTTTACCATTTACTAACCAAAGTGGACCCTGTGATGAGAAATTAAAAATTATTTTCTCAGATATAGTAGGACCCATGAAATGCGAATCCACAACAGGAGCGAGATACTGCATCACTTTCATCGATGACTGTACACGATGGTGTGAGATATATTTTCTTACCGAGAAAAACAAGGCGCTGGAAGCTTTCAAGTTATATAAGAATTACGCCGAAAATTTAACTGGAAAGAAAATTAAATATTTACAAACCGACAGAGGTGGTGAGTACTGTAGTACTGAATTTGATAACTTCCTGAAACAAGAAGGCATATCGAGAAGATTAACTGTGGCGCGTACACCACAACAGAACGGTGTAGCGGAACGAAAGAATCGAACCGTTTTAGACATGGCACGATGTATGATGCTATCCCGCCAGTTGCCTAGCCGATTTTGGGCAGAAGCAGTTGATACGGCATGTTACCTGAGAAATCGATGTCCTACCAGTAGCTTAGGCGGTCAGATTCCTTACGAAAAGTGGCATGAAAAGCCGATAAGCATCGATTATATGCGAAAATTCGGTGCAAAAGTATATATTCTCTGTAAAGATCCTGGAAAGGACAAGTTTGCCGCGCGCAGCATCCTGGGTTTCTTCACAGGATATCCTAGAGGCACAAAAGGATATCGAGTATGGATTCCAGATAAACGAAAGTCCGTAATTGCAAGAGATGTGAGGTTCCATGAAGAAATAGATTCAGGGGACGAGGTCTCGAAACAAGAGAACGTAGTTATTAAGAATCCTGATTTGGAGACTGAAAAGAAATTCTTCAAGTTTGAGATACCAGCTCGCGTATCTAATAATGAAGAGCAACCAGAAATGCCAGGAGTTGAAGTGCCTGCTGAAGATGAAGGACAAGAAATAAGACAAGATCACCCTGCGGAAGAGAACTGTGCGAACAGCCCAGAGCAGTCTAATGATGAACAATATATTATGTCCGACCAAGAAAGAAATACCCCCGAACGAATTAATCCCTCAAATGAAGATAATCAGAATGAGATAATACTAAAGCGAGCCCCAGGAAGACCTAAAATATTACGAACCGGTAATGTAGGAAGGCCGCGAAAGGTTTATCGAATGGTTGAAGTAGAACCGGAGAGGCCTATAACTGATGCTCAAGGTAGTTCTGAGAGCGAGGTGGATACTTTTACCGATTGTAATGATTTCGCGGGCACAGCACAAATCTCATTGGAAGACGCAATGAAAAGTGAGGACTGGAAAGGATGGGAAGATGCAATACTGTCAGAAGTAAGAAGTTTAGTTCAAAAAGGTACATGGGAATTAGTCAAAAGATCCATAAATCGTAATGTAGTAGGCTGCCGTTACGTTTTGACTACGAAGCTGAATGTGGACAAAACGACAAAGAAAAAGGCTAGACTTGTTGCACAAGGTTTTAGTCAGCGGTATGGAACTGATTATAATAAAACATTCGCACCAGTCGCAAGACTCGATACCGTAAGACTGTTAATAGCTTTATCTGTCGAAATGGATATGGAAATCCATCAGAGTTTGAATGAACCCTGTTTGTACTATAAAAAATGTGACAGTGAGAACCTCTTTGTACTTATTTATACTGATGACATATTAGTAGCTAGCGAAAATAAAAAGGTGATTGACAACTTCAAAACTCAACTAGCCAAAGAGTTTGACTTGAAGGACTATGGCCAAGCTCAATATATCCTTGGAATTGACATCTGTCGAAATGATAATAAAATTTCGCTAAATCAAAAGAAATATATTTCCGATATATTAGTGAAATATAATTTGCCGCAATGTAAGCCGGCAAAAACGCCCATGGAATCGCATTCAAAGCGACCGAAAGATGAAACAAATATAAATAATTTGAAAGGTGAGTTCCCATATCGAGAAGCTATTGGAAGTCTCATGTATCTTAGTGTTGGTACAAGACCAGATATCTCGCATGCCGTCGCATATCTAGCGCAGTTTACAAGCTGTCCTACACACGAGCATTGGCTCGCCGTAAAGCGCATTCTAAGATATTTAAAAGGAACAATAGATTACGGACTTGTATTCAGGAAGACGGGACAACCAGTCAAGGGGTACTGTGATGCTGATTGGGGGAACTGTACTATTGATCGGTGTTCATTTTCAGGATACGCTTTCCTCCTGGGAAACTCATGCATTTCCTGGTCGTCGCGGAAACAAAGAAGTACAGCCTTATCGACGTGCGAAGCCGAGTACATAAGCATGAGCGAAGCTATGCGGGAAGCATTACATTTAAATATGATGCTTAGAGAGGTTGGGTCAGGAGCAGGGGGGGTAAAATTTAACGGGGAGAACATTCAGTTTATTAGATTCGCTGACGACATAGCTGCAATAGGGAATAGTGCAATAGATCTAGAAAAACTAATCACTGTTATGGATCAAACATTCAGTGAATATGGCCTAAAAATTAACATCAACAAATCCAAAACCTTAGTCACATCTAAACATCCACAACATAATAGACCGATCAGCCTAAATAACACGCCACTAGAAGAGGTCAAAACCTTCAAATATCTAGGCAGCATAATTACTAACGACTCCAGATGTACACCAGATATAAAGGCAAGAATAGCTATGGCAAAGAAAGCTTTCAACGGAAAGAAAACACTGCTAAAAGCCAGAATTTCATCACATGCTCGTAAAAAACTAATCAAGGTGTACGTCTGGAGCATAGCATTATACGGCTGCGAAACCTGGACAATGACACAAAGAGACAGGGAACGGTTAGAAGCCTTCGAAATGTGGTGTTGGCGTAGGATGGAACGGATAAGCTGGACAGAGAGAAAGACCAACGAAGAAGTGCTCCAACTTGTGAAGGAAAAAAGAACGTTACTGAACACAATAGAAAAAAGAAGAGGAATCATGCTGGGACATCTTATACGACATGACCAATTATTCAGGACTATTATTGAGGGCAAGATCGAAGGAAGGAGAGGGAGAGGAAGGCCAAGATGGAGTTATTTAGACCAAGTGAAGGAGAAATTAATGGTCATGTCGTATAGGGAGGTCAAGGAAAAGGCGCAAGACAGAGACAACTGGCGGTTACTCCACCGACAAGAGCAGTGAGCTCTTAAATAAGAAGAAGAAGAAGAGAGGTTGGCCTAGACAGGTATGCTAGTCTTACGTTGCATGCTGATA